CTTAAAACAGTCCCTCACTCACAATTGCCATTTTAAAATGCACTCCACAGTTCAACTTCGACCTCCTCCTCGCAGATAATGCGAGATCACAGGAGACAGCGAAGTACCGCGTACTTTACATCCATCCACGGTGGTAACAATGAACATCTGCTACTGAACACGATAATGTCACCTAACTAAATAATGAATGGCAAGGCTTTCTGAGTATCAGTCACTTATATCTGACCCGTGGCCCTGACTACTACAAATCTGCAATTTACTGTCCGTAGTAATGAAAAAATGACATTAAAGATCTTGATACCGTTTGCCCTCTGATGAAAGGATAACGGCCTTTCCTAAAAATTTTGGGACGATAAATTAATCGTAGAATCTGCAAGCAGATCTTTTCCGCTTTATCTAGAAAACTTGTCGTCACAGCTTCCATACCTCTTTTACTCGTGATCCCATCTGAGAAGAAGTCATTTAACTGATCTCCTGTAGCCCCTTAAGTACCAGTTGGTTGCTGCTTAAGTAAATCTGTCGTCAGTCGATTGAACATTCTATAAATTACGCACATTTCTTCAACAATAGTAATATACGATGCTTTAATTCGTACAACAGATAACGGATTTATCAGTTGACCTAGCGGGTGCCTTTTCAAGCACCGCTCTCACCATAGGGACATTGGTCAGCACGAAGAGCCGATAAATTTCGGTTCCTTTTTGTCAACAACAGATGAATTTATTTACAATTTAACAGCACTGAAGCCCTGAAATGCTCATGAAACAAAAACAAAAATCGCAGACATCGCAATCGCAAAAATCGCGTTTATGGAATGAAAAATTTAATAATAGTTTGCCCTTTGCATATTCGCCAATCGCTCTCGTTCTAGCTAACTACATCGAATCAGCTTTTAAGGCCAAAACATTCTTGATTAAATTCCTATGCTTTACAACAGGATTTCAAGAACTGTCGTTATAAACACCTTCACCTCTATTCATAATGCTGAATCTTGTCCGGATTAAAAGCGCTCAGGCAACTAAGTGTTGTATGTAGTTGCCAACTGTTGTTACTCTGCGCTGCGTCATTTTTATCTCTCTGTTATTGAGAAACTTACGTTAACTTGAGACAAAGAGCAAAAGGCAGTTAGAATTATTTCGATCATCTTATATTACCGTGCATCAGTGTATTAAATCGTTAGCTGTTGCTAGATAAAGGTTAGCAACATTAACTGAAACCCAAGTATTGCGCCACACTGGCCATATTTTACTCATGGTCTGAAGTACTTATATGCATATCGCCAGGTTTTACTTTATAATGCATGTTTTCAAAATAAATTCTCATCCTGATGCCATTCTCTGACATACAGATGAATGAAGAATTTTCACCTACCGGAAATTATTTGCAACTTATTTTACTCTCCTAAAAATTAATTTTTTAAGCAACCCTGTAATCAATCAAAACTAAACAGCTTCACCAAAAATACAATATCTGTTGCAGAACTTGTCAAACCTTTCGAAAAAAGATACGAATAGGCAGATTCAAGCCAAATATCTGCTAGAGTAGTCGTCGAAAGGGAAGTTCGCAATCAAGAAAATCGCAAATTTTCAAACTTCCAAAAGGAACAACAACAAGTAGCAACCTCGCCTTCAGATTTACGTTTTTGACATCCTCCTGCTGAAGACCAAGGCTGAAATCAGGTTTTACAGAAGGCGAGGGGGAGGGGCGACAAACAACGCGGAAAAAACATCAGGCCAGCGGCTTTGTGGTCATTTTTGCCTAAAGGAGCATTTCTGCAGCCGACAGACCTCGCTCTGCGAAAGTTTGAGCAGCGCTGCCAACGCCTTGACCATGTGTTGCCGGTCGGTCGAACTTTCGGACGATACAAATCGCAGCAGAACGTTTTTCAGGTATTCGAGATTTGTATCGTGGCGGCTGCGCGCAAGTCTGATCCGCAAGTTCATTATCTCCTGCTTCTGCGCCTCGACCTTCTCTGACTTCTCTAAGTTCAACATCATCGAAGATCGTTTAAATTCGCACAACTGATCCTTCACTTCCCGCAGTTCTGCCCTAAGGCGTGACACCTCTGCATCATTGATGACCGTCTCATACTGAGCTATCAGCGAAGAGCCACCTCTATCACCGGTGAAAGGCGAAGACGAACGAGGCGTCACTGAAACTTGACAAGCCATTAGAATGCGAAACTATGCTAATTAAAGTTGCCTACGATTAAAGGCAATATTAGGCGATTCTTGACCAGCGTAGCCGTTGGACGTCGAAGAATTGACACTGCTTCTGCTTCGTGCTCTGAAACACATTTTACCGTTACCAGAAGCCTTTCGACACAGTAGCCACGAACCTACCGCAAAATCTCCCTCATTAACTCCAGTTCTTTATCCTTTTCCAAAATGATATCAAGCGTCCTTTCACGCTGCTTCTGCAGTTCGTTTTCAAGGTCGAAAATCTTCCGTACACATTCTTCCTCCTTCTTTTTGATAGTTTCAGAATGGTACGACTTTAATTCGTTCAAGGTACGTTCAAACTCTTCGATGAGTTGAGTAAAATGGGTTTCTGCTCTACGCTTTTCTTCCTGGATTCTCACCAGTTTCGTCTGCAACTCTGATACCATCTGCTTCAATTGCTGTAGTTCCACTGGTTGAGGATCCTAAAATCAAAATCTACTAAAACATCAAAATCTTGCTAGATATGGATTCATTCTTTGAAGGGGCGCGTATTGACTACCACATATACAGCAACAAAATCTGCTAAAATTCAATTTATAACGGCGATATTCGTCGCCTTGGCATTGCAAGACAGGCCCTTAAGCTGAATGGCATGTACTTAGTTGTGCCTAAAAACTAATGTTTACGGCTCAGTAATAAATAATATTAACATGACTATTAATATCATATATCAAATATTTAACTCCAACGTTGCCGGTCCCAAGCCCGGATGATAAAGAAGGAAGGTTGAACACCAATTTACTGGCAAGTCTCCTGCCACTCATGCTATTGAAGCCATCGAAAATTATACCGGCTCGGTAGTCGCCCGGGTTACCAAGGACCGCGCAGGCTGTTGGGGGACTAACGCAGACTACGAAAAGTCGTCGATCAAAACCTGCTCATTCCCCTCTGGCAGCCGGGGGCGTGGCAGCACAACGACGGCTGACGAAAACCGACGCAACGACGACGAAGATACTATTCAGCAACGGAGTCGCTACCCGTTCTGAACGGAGGAGGCACACAGCGCGATGCTATTACAGCACCTCAGAAAAGGCTCCATGGAAACAACACTACCAATGGGAGCTTAAAGTCTGAAATTGGAACAAATCATCACTCAGAAGAAAAGAACATGAATTAGTTCATGAGGCCACGAAGCACCAACTCCACATTGTTGGACTCTAGTTAAAAAAACGCCCAGGTTCTGGACTTCTGAACCTCAATGGATGGAAGCTATTGTACTCAGGAGTCGACATTACGACTCGCGCTCAGGCCGGGTATTCTGGTAGAACCCAAACTTGCCGATAGAATAATCGATTGGAATCCTATCAGCGGAAGGGTGGTAATCCTCCGCCTGAAGCTACAACAGGCTAAATCGATGACCTTGGTACAGGTCTATGCGCCCAATTTGGAAGGAGAA